TAGAATATTTCACTCCGCTTTCTCGAATCCGATTTTTTTTTTTTTTTTTTGTGGACTCCTCGCCTATTCAACGTGTGACGAATCCTTTATTATCGAGACGAGAGAGAGAATTCAATAAGATTTGTCAAAGTGTCGTTTTTATCGTTCCACGAATTGGTTGTGTAGTAACGAGTTGTAGCGACGAGTAAATCGGTCGAGGGACGTGTAAAGACTACCGTATTTTTTTTCTTGTGGAATTAGTTGAATGAGTGACTTTTGTTTTTCAATTTGAAATATTTATTATTTAGAAATAAAATCGAGTACAATTTTTCACGATAGAATTCCATTCATCTGTTAACAGATTCAACGTGGAATTTGAAGAATGGATTTTAGAAATTAAAAAAAAAAAGAATGAAATATTTGTCGAACTGAATGAAACGAGAAAATTCTTCACGGCGCAGGAATTTAAAAAATCCTCTGCCTTTTCATAGATCATTCGACCCGAATCTCGACGCGAAACCATTTGCATAAACAATTTTTAAATTAGATAGCTTCCATCCGTCGATCCTCTAATACCCTCACGGCCTTTAGTTTACATAGAAATTTCTGATTATTCGGAACAGTGGTGTTCTTCACGGTGAGGCATGAATCGCCTTTGACACGCACGCGTACATTCGTAAAATCGGTCGACGGCATTTGAATTTTAAATTTCCTTTTCGTCGAATGGGTATAATAACCGTGGAATGTAACGGAGTACTCTTTCACGTTGAAATATTACTACTCGATGTTTGATCGTCGATTTTTAGAACGAATTTATCGTTTCTTACCATCCTATTAAGATTCTCGAATTTCTCGAAAATTCGATCGAGCAAAAATATTTCGAATATTTTAAATTCTAAAAAAATCGTCCGAGAATCTCTCAATTTGGAAAAAAAGGGGAGAAAAAATAGCGATCTTGAATGGAATCCGAAAGAAATGAATTTTTTAAGTGGTTCCTTTTCGGAGATAAATTCAAACTTGTTTCGTATCCGATGGCGATTTCTGTCGTTCCCGCGGTTTTGCCGGGGTCCATTCACGAAAACGTTCCAACTTTCGTTTTCCCTCGGCGACAGCTGGCGTGCGTCGCGCTCGAGTTTACGGCGCTGTAAAACTTTAATCGCCGTGTCGCATTGTTCGACGCAGGAAAACGAAAGCAGAGCAGAATCGCGCGCCGATTTTTGATAATCTCGGCTTCGCGCCGAGATGAAGAAGGAAGAGGAGGAAGGAAATTTCTTCTCGAGAGAGGGGAACGAAAGCGAAACGCGAAGTATGAAGTTCGAGAAGGAAAGTATATATTTATGCAAATTTTAAATGAGAGAAACAAAAAAAAAAAAAAAAAAAAAAAAAGGAGAGAAAAATCCAAGTTGAAAACTTGTTTACCAATCAAGGAAACAGAAAACAAAGTGTGAAAGTTGATGGTAGGTAAAAAGTAAAAGACAATGAATATATAAATTACGTGTGTTTAAAAAAAGAAGAAGAAGAAAAAAACGTATAAAGGAATTTTCTCGAGGAATTCGAATGAAATGAATCGATAACGAGGAAACTTTTCTTTTTTATTAATCGAGAAAGTTGATGGATTATCAAAAATCAACCAATCAAAGAAACTTATTATATTTATATCGACGAAGAAAGTTTCGATAAGAGAAAGAGAGAGAGAGAAATAGAAATAAATGGAAAACGAGTTACAATAAGATCGATGAAAGAAGCACGATAGACATATTAAAAGAATTCGATCGAACTCTGTTTACTATTGTTTAAAAAACATAAGATTCGCATTTCCGGTTCATCGCCCGTTTGTTACGAGTGCGCGGCGTTCACTGGATGATCTGAGCCGATTACCACCGCGTTTCCCCCGTTTTATGATATTTCAAATGTAAAAAAAAGGAAGTGTGTGGAATCTGTGCCAGTGGGTCTCGGTCTCCTCGCTCATCCTCCCACCAGGCCCCCGAACAACTCGGCGAAGAAACGGGGCCTCGGTCGTCCGGGTAGGGGAACGCGCAACGTTGCTGGGGAGGGAGGGAGGGGGTTGGGAAGGTTGCATAGAAAGAGGAAGGCTCTCGAAAGCTGAGCCGACTCCGCCGCTCGACCGCTCGACCGCGGCTTCGAATCCTCTCCGAAACGAGACTCGAAAATTCGTTCGACGAGGCCTCGATTTCCAAAGGCGCGAAATCAATTTTTTTTTTTTTTTTTTACAGTGAAATTTTCCAGGGATGCGATCTCTCGTTGGCGTAAAATTTTCATTTTGGTGGAGAAATATATAAAACGAATCTTTCTCGTTTAACTTAGAATTGTATATATATCATTGATTATAATTCGAGCCCGATCCGACTTTTCACGGTGATTGCGATCACGCACAACTCCGCGAGACGTTGCTCGAAACCGAGCGACCACGTTTCACTTTGCACGATTTCTTACACAATCGGTTTGTGCTACTTGCGAGACACGCTTACCCACAACCCGCCAACGCGGACATCCGGATCGCGCCGTGATAAGTGGCTTTTTGCCACTTTTATGCTCGTTAATCCGATCGATTAGGAATAGGCGGGCGGAGGGAGAGTTTAATCGCGAGCGCGGACAACTGAAATATGCAACGCACGGCAAATGGCGGCTCGTTGGCACACTTTCCTCGATCGGCTTCGATCGCCCGATTTTCCTATATATATATATATATTCGATCGGATATTATTACACGTCCAAGTATTCTCGATTATCGATTTCCAATAGAATTTTAAAATTTTCTTCTTCTAATCCTAGAACGGATTGTTTCTTTCGATATATATGTATATATATATATTGGAAATTTTCGAGTTCTTCTTTCTTTTCTTTTTTTGCTCGAGCGACAAAATGGAACGGAATATCTGGTCCAATTACGATCGAATTAATGGAACAGTTCTCGATTGTACGAATTTTCTTCCAGTATGTTTGAAATTTTAGAAATGTTTTTTTTTCTCCCCTTTTCTTAATCGAGCGATAGAATAAATCCTACAATTTGTACAAATTTTCCAGCGATATTCGCTAGAACCAAAATTTCTTACTCTCTCTCTCTCTCTCTCTCGATTGACGGAAAGTAACGGAAGAATGGAACGGACGTACACACGATTGTTTTCAGCCAAACAAATTGGATACAAATTTTTATTCGGTTGCGATAAATAAATAAATAATACAAAAGAGGAAGAAATGGAAATGAATCAGATGAGAGAACGAAAGAAAGGATAATAAATAAATTATTGTTGGTGAGTGAAGTTTGATGACCGAAGCTTGGATTTCTCCAGCGTGTCCAGCGCCCGTTTCGTCGTTCCTCCCGTGTCGCGCGATCCATCACAACCGATCGTTACGTTTTTTCAACACTCCGTTGTGTACGTGTCACGTGCGAAATCTTTAAAACCCGTCACTTTCTAACGGAGCAAAAGTGTGCGTCAAAAGCGTTCGTCCGTCTCACTACCTCCATCGTCTCAATGTCATTGTCACCGTCCAGTGTGGCCGTCCTTGTCTCGTCCCGTGTCTCGTGCCTCGTGCTTTCTCTCTCGACTTTTAATCAATTAACAAATGATATATCGGTGCTGCTGTCTCGTCTCGAAGAGGCGACGAAGCCGGTCCAGCGCGGATCAGGATCAAGATCGGATCAGGACACCCTCGAGTCGCCGAACAGGTGAGCGTATCCCCTGTAAGGAAGGCCCGCGTCCTCCTCGCCTACGGAGGACCGCTTCTTCCGGTAATGGTGGTGGCCGACGTCCTGCGCGTACACCACGTGGTGGCCGCCGCCGCTCTCGTGCCCGCTCGCCAGTTTCTTCACGGCCACGATCAACGAGAGCATCAAGGCCAACGCGGACACCATCAACGCCTTCATGGCCAGCAGACCGAGAGCGCCGAATCCTAGCGCCGCCATCATCTTGCCTGAAAATTGCAAAGATCAGTCAGGTAATCGATCTCTTAGTCTCTCGATCCTTTAGGAGAGATTTTAATAATAAATGGGTGCGAAATATTTTTCAGACGGGGAAAGAAGGAGGGGAAAACGTTTCGTTTCGGAAAACTCGTCTTACCCATCATCAGAGCCAGCATCATCATCCCGCCACCACCGCCTTTCTTTCCACCGCGGAATCCGCCGCCTCCACCGCCGCCCCCGAATCCTCCGCCGCTTCCTCGTCTAGCTGAAACCACATACAGGCAAATGAATCACCCTCCCAAGTAATATCTTGGATCAAATCGAATCTCTCATCGAGGGTGAACCTTGATCGACCGGCAAACTCTCTTGAAGGGCGCTCTCGAGATTCTGCGGCAACAAGGCGGGCAGTTTAATCCTCAGCTCCCTCCCCTCCAAAAACTGC